AATAGTTTGTGTTTTTTTGTGTTTTTTTTTTTTTCTTCAAACAAAGCAAAACTTGATTGAAACCACCCAGATTCACGCTGACCGGCAAATGGGCCAGGCTTCTCCTGCAACTCAGGCCACATGCGTTCAAGACCGATCCTGAGACCTTGGCAAACCTGCCCCAAGTTTCAGGTTTTTACTGAAAGCATCCCCCAGCTCCACTGACTTCAGAGTTTTATTCTGGACTTACACCTGTTCAACTGAGTCAGGTCTACACTAGAAAAGCATTGCAGGTGCAGCTTGGCAGCAACTTAAATATAAGCACTACCTTTGACTTACAATTGTTGACTAAGAATTGATTTAGAATCTGGTCAGTGGGGTGCATATAAACACACACAGCTATCGAATGAGTAATTATTTCTCATCATGCATAGGCTACAACAAAGCATTCTGTGCAGAGAGGAATAGCTGGGCGACCTTGACAAGTTTTGCATCTGAGCTAATTCAAAATTTCATATGCAATCACCTAACTTCTAATCTTTTGTCTCACTGATAAATGAAAAGTTGTATTTATACTACATGACAGCAATCTTTTTGCTCTGCTGCAGAGGCAGCCAGCCAAAGGCAGCCATGGTCATGAACCCTGTTACCAGAACTGTTTTGACATCTCTGATTGCACCACAAGATCCTTTTGACATACAAGGAAGTAAACAAACCACAAAAGACGCAGAGGAAAAGCGTAAGCACTGTCTGAGCAATCTTAAAAGAGAAGTTAAAACAATGGGCCTTAAACCAGGAATGGCTCCACTGACTTCAGAGTTATTCTGGATATACACCTGTTTAACTGAGTCGAATCTCCACTAGAAAAGCATTGCAGGTACAGCTTTGCAACTATACTGGCAAACCTGCCCACTGTAGATACAGTTTATACTGGAAATAAGTGCTTTTGCCTGGGCAGTTTATACCAGTTCGTGAATGAAATAAGCTCTACCAGCAAAAACACTCTAGCTGCTATCACTGCCTATACGCTAAGGTTTTTGCCAGCATTGAGATGTCATACAAAAAGACACTTGCAACATTACTATATGGGCAAAAGTTTCTAATGTGGATCTGGCCAGGGACCAACATTTGGCCCAATGCATCTAATTCAACTACAGATTCAGCTTCCTCTGCCTCCCTAGCTGATGATCTCAAAACCTAAACTACAAACATGACCATTTAAAGATATTGATCTCTCCAGCATGCACACGCTTCTCAGCATGCACAGCCTTTAGGTGCAAATCTCAGGAATATAGCAACATTAAAGTAAATTCCACAAAAGACCCAAAGGAGGAAAAAAAAGCCAATCCCAGTTTAATAAATCAAAGTAGTAATTTATGTAGCAACAAAACCTGCAGCTGTGTTATTTTCCACCTTAAACTTAACTAAACAGTGTGATGCTGCTGGCATACATCTCTAACCATGGTGCTACCAGCAAGTTCCTATGGCCCCTTTTGAGTTTCAGCTTTAAATGAACCCGAAAGTTCAATGCCACACTCAGCCCAGATCATCAAGTTTCAGCTGGATTAACCCTGAAACTGCTGAGCTCCACAGTGTTTTGTCTCAAAACCAAAACGCAGCCCAGGCTGAAGTAGTGTAGGAGCATTGGTTCTTCCTTTACACCCTGAGGCTGCAATTGGTCCATGTGGGCAGACTTCTATGTCCCTGCAGAGCCCAGTTGGCTTCAGTGGACCCAAATGCAGGCTCATAGCCCTACTTAGCTTCTCCTATTCAATCATGTATGCAGAAAATAAGAGCTGGTCCATCACTACATGTAGATAGGCCCATTATTAACTCCACCCTTTGGTATTTCTAACACTGCCTCTAAAATTTGGTAGCACCTGCCCTGACAGCACTGTGTGTGTGTGTGTGTGTGTGCCATATAATGCTGCACTGATTCTTTCTTCTTATAGATTTAACCGTAGACACCCTGGTACCTTCTTTAATTTCCCTATTCCTTACCCTAATTCATCAGATTCCTTTTAAGTCAAAATTAAACAGATGCTTATTATCCAGAAATTCAGCAATGAATCACTTTCATGTTTGGAGAGTATGCTAACCGTGTAATGTAAAATTCATCACTACTGCTTTCTGATTTCCTCCCCAACTTCTTTGATAATGTTTGCCTGAATCTCTCAAACATCTGTGATAAAATTCTTATCTACTGTATGCTGAGCTAGAGCAGCTGCTTCTGTGACTGGGATCAGGACCCAGGAAATCTGGCTTCAGTTCCTAACTCTGCTACTCCCAGGCCTTTAAACATGCATTTTTTGGCAGCCATCCCATGCAAGACTCTTATTAAGCAGCCAATGGCTAGGACTCCAGAATGGGAGCTCCGCACCTGGCTCTGGGTTGGGGGGTGGCTTTCACTTCCACTTCCCCAGCTCCCTATACTTTAACAACTATAAAGCCAGAGCAATTGCTCAGGCTCAGTGTGGGTGAAGTGGATTTCACCCCATGCGCAGAGGACCTATGCAAAATTGTAAAATACCTTAACCTGGAAAGCACTCCCTACTGTTCTTTGGTTTTTTTCCACCTAGTATTTTTAATATTCTGGACCATTCTTGCAAAATACTTGTCCCAAGCTATTTTAGCTGCAGGTAGCCTTCCTCAAACACTTTTCTGGCAAGGGAAACAAAATAGATGCACTCATAAAGCTTCATTCTCTCTAGCATCCCCTCTTGCTCACCTCACTCCTGCTTGGTGGCCAGGATCAGGGAATGCAGGTGGCTGTCAGAGGAGGATTGAGACAATTGATCACAGGCTGGTCTGGGCCTGAATAGCTGAAGGGCTCTGCACACAAAGTCATGGATACTTTTATAGCAGGCACCGAGGCTGCCTCTTGAACTGTAGGGACCCAGGCCTCTGGCAGAATTCCAGCAGGGTCTTAAAAGCGCCTAAGCTGTCACATTGGGGTTTGGTTATTTATTGCTCTTGCTTCTCTGAAGTGTCCTTTTCCAGGGGAACCTTTCCTTGCACTTCATTGTATTATTCCCCTTCCTCTTGTTGTGAGCACAACAACGGCTCTCCAGAATTGCCAGTACACCCATGTACGAGACTCCAGTGGTTTACCAGCCAGGTTACTAGGGGTGGGCCTCATCTAGACGATCAGACTGGAAATTCCTCAGCTTTAGATGTCAGCTGATTTTGGAGTCAGGTTTAAAAGCACCTGGAGAAGAGGAGCAGAGGAGAGTGACCAAGAAGTGGATGGATTTAGAATGATGTCTTGGCTACGGTCATGAGTTAGAACAGCACCAGGACCCTCATTAACTCCAGAGAACTCCTGGGCTGAGTTCTGCACTGAGTTCCACCCCTGCTGAACTCTAAGCAGCTGCAGGGGCATAAGCAAGGACAAAAGTTGTCTCAGTAGCTTTTCGCTTCTTGATGAAATCTGCCCTAACCATGGTGGTGAGACCCAGATCAGTTTTGAACTCTGTCAGCACAGGAACAGCAGCACAACTCAGGGCCTCAGCACCTGTAGCAACTTCAGGTGAGGCTAAACCAACCCCCAGGGATGGCCAGCCCCCCATTGTGTGGGATGAGGCTGGGAGCAGTTTGCAACTAGCCCATATCTTTAAAATGGGCTTAACTGAAACCAGGGAGTTGGAAAACAGTGCCTGACGTGTGGGGCGTTCCAGAACCTGATCTGACTTCTACCAGTTGGACCTTTCCAGCTGTGGCTAACCAGATGCTGTGATTCCTTATCGCCCATTCCCCTGTGTCCTGTACCATCAGACAAAATATGCCTTCTGCTTCTCTACGCAGCCTTCCCCTACAACCGCATGGGCCAGCACTGACTGGACATGTAGTCATCCAGACCAGCCATAGGTCCTCCAGCAGTAAGCACCAGCGAGAACTCTGCCAGCCCCAGCAGCTTCTCCTTTAGAACCAGCTGGTCATTCATAGAGTCCATTTCTGTTGAGGGTGTTTGAAAAAGGCTATCATGCCCCACCACCCATTCTTCCCTGGGGCAGGGCTAGCCTGGGCCTGCGAGACAGCACAGGGATTTTCTGACACAAAGTTGACTTTGATGTGAGGTGTTAGTCAGAGACACTGGCACTATTTGTACAGTGGGAATGCTGAGAGTCATTGAACCAGACTGTAAAGCCTTTATATAATGGAAACCACTTCAAGCCAGGGGGTGCAACAGCGCCCCAGCTACAGCTCCTATGGCTTCTCCATGTTTGGACCAACCTCCAAACCCCATTGAGGTCAGCGTCTCCATAGGCTGGATCGGGGCCTTATCTGTGACATTCCTGACTGGACATGAGGGGAAGCCACTTAAAGCGTTTCCAATATAGCCCCAGCTCAACAGCAAGTTGCAAGGGACTTACCCCCACTTCACCCTGGAACACAGACTCCCTCCCCGGGAGTCAGGGTCGATTCATCCCCCGGCCCAGCAAAGGGCTCCCTGGACAAAGGGCTCCGGGGGGGGGGGGTGGTAGTGGCAATGGGGAATAAGGGAGGACCAGCCCCCCGGGAGGTGGCGGCTGTTTGGCTATTGCAGCTTCCACAGACACTAGCAGAAGCTCCCAAGCGGAGGCTCGCTGGGTTTTGTTCTGGGGGTGGGGGTCCCCGCTGCAGTCTCTGGGGTTCAAGGCTTTGGAACAGGGGGTCGCTGCTCCCCAAACAAAGGAGCCGGGCCAAGGCTCGGAGGGAAACTGATCCGCGCCCAGCCGGGCTCTGCGGAGGGCTCGGACTTCGCTCCCACGCCCGGGGGCAGGAGAGGGGCCCGGGGCACGCGCTCGTTACCTCTGCCGCCGCCGCCCCATCTCTTCCTCCGGCTCCGGGCTAGGCTGAGAGGAAGCTCCCCTCTCGCTGCCATCCAGCCCGGCCTCGGCTACCTGCGGCCGGCCCCTCACCTGCCGGCCACGCCCACCTTTAGCCCTCACCTGCCTGCAAACTGGTGCCTCGCCTTCCTCTTCCTGAGGGGGGAGGGGTTTGTTCTGCAGCGCCTCCACCGCACACCTGCAATAGGGCCCATGGCTCCTGAAGGGGTATGCGGGGCGGGCAGGAAGGGCTGCAGAGAGGACGGTGGTGTGACCGGGGAGTTTAGGAGGAGAGAGGTAAGTAGCTCTCCGTAGGCAGAGTGTAGTGTCGGGGAGCGATGAAAAGGTAGCAAAGCGGGTGCAGAAAAGGCTGAGTGTGTTTTGCACACTCATACACACAGAGGCTGTTCAAACCACTTCAGTGCTGAGCAGAGGAACTGTAGCCATTCAGTCCACTTTCTCTGCTTGTGACCTGTTGGAGCCAGCTGACTTTGTAGGCAGGGATGTAGTGTTGCAAACAAGTGTGATTCAAAATTCAAGGTTTCAGAGTAGCAGCGGTGATAGTCTGTAACCGCAAAAAGAAAAGGAGGACTTGTGGCACCTTGGAGACTAACAAATTTATTTGAGCATAAGCTTTCGTGAGCTACAGCTCACTTCATTGGATACATTCCACACAAAGATGGACTACAAGCCGTCAGGAACAGTATCCCCGATAATGTCGCTGAAAACCTGGTGGCTGAACTTTGTGATTCTGTCCTCACCCACAACTATTTCACATTTGGGGACAATGTATACCTTTAAATCAGCGGCACTGCTGTGGGTACCTGCATGGCCCCACAGTATGTCAACATTTTTATGGCTGACTTAGAACAACGCTTCCTCAGCTCTCGTCCCCTAATGCCCTTACTCTACTTGCGCTACATTGATGACATCTTTATCGTCTGGATACGTGGAAAAGAAGCCCTTGAGGAATTCCGCCATGATTTCAACAATTTCCATCCCACCATCAACCTCAGCCTAGACCAGTCCACACAAGAGATCCACTTCCCGGACACTACAGTGCTAATAAGCAATGGTCACATAAACACCACCCTATACCGGAAACCTACTGACCGCTATGCCTACCTACATGCCTCCAGCTTTCATCCAGACCACACCACATGATCCATTGTCTACAGTCAAGCTCTACCGCATTTGCTCCAACCCCTCAGACAGAGACAAACACCTACAAGATCTCTATCAAGCCTTCTTACAACTACAATACCCACCTGCTGAAGTGAACAAACAGATTGACAGAGCCAGAAGAGTACCCAGAAAGTGTCCGATGAAGTGAGCTTTAGCTCACGAAAGCTTATGCTCAAATAAATTTTTTAGTCTCTAAGGTGCCACAAGTACTCCTTTTCTTTATTCAAAATTCAAGGAATGTTTAGCCTGTGGATTGCTCACAAGCTGTCAGCCAGAGCTGTTCTTCTGGGGCTTTGCAGTCCATGCTGTGTGACTGGTCACCTCACTAACAAAGCATTGTTTGAATGACCTTGAACAACACTGATATTGTTTTGAGAAGAGCTTGTATGAATCCTTCCGGGAATTGAGCAGGTGACACTCCCATACAGGTTATTCAGTGTGTGTTTAATAGCTGGTTCTTCTTAAAGATAAGGGCCTGCTGCCACCAGCTAATTCCTTAAGGTAAAGTCTGCAAAATGATACTCAGGTTGTATAAGGCTGTCCTTGTCTATCAGTGGGGTTGGAAAACTGTTTGGACAACTGGATTGTGTGAGTGAAGGGCCTGGCCAGATGTTGGGTGGTGTGCTTTCAGCTGAGTGGCGCTAGACTATAAACACTTCACAGAACAGGCTTTTTACCAACTTGAGTCATCTCCCTGCTCCCAAGAACAGAGTGGACAGATGGTGGGGAGTGAAAAGTACACAAGTGGCTGTGGAGAAACTCATTGTCCTGGGCAGGTTCTTTGGTCACCCAGCAGAGTCATTTCACTTTCTCCTAGCTCCTGATCTGTCCTGTTTTCCCCACTCTAATTCCCTGTAGTGTAGACCAAGCCCTGGTTAATCCACCTTTCTGAGAGGCGGGTTCAAGGAATAATTCTTTGACTGATGGAGCTGCATCTACAGTGCGGGTGAGGCTGACCTAACTATGTTGCACAGGGCACAGAATTTGTCATTGCCCTGAGCAATGTAGCTAGGTCGAGCTAATTTGTAGGTGTAGGCCAGGCTTAACTCTCTGACCTTCAGGAAGTCATTAAACTCCTGCCTTGATTTCCCCATCTGTGAATGGGGAGTAATACTTCAAAAGGCTGTTGGGAGGAGTAATTAATGTTTGTAAAATGATGAGATTAGTAAGGAGAAAAGATGCTAAGTGAATTAAATTAAAAGACATTTTAGCTATCCTCAAGGCACATCACTGGGTCCAGAAAACAAAGCAACACAGAAAAGGAACACTGATTTCAATCAGCAGCTGATCCCTTGAGCACTCAGAGCCAAAGCCCTGTAGTTTTAAGGTTGGGAACTGCCCTAAATACACATCATTTGAAAGGTGGAATCTAATTTTGGTGGGGTTTGGATATAACATTCACCTAGTGTTCTTACCACTCCTGTCTCTAAGGATTTCCTAATCATATCATTGTCCATCACCCTCACTTCAAAGTATCCTTACTGCCCCTCCTTTTCCAGACCTGTTATTGTTGTGTTACCATAGTACTTGGGAACCCCAGATATGAGCCAGGACCCCATTGTGCCAGGTGCTGTACCAAAGCAGGACAAAAAGACGGTCCCAGTCCCTGCTCCAAAGAGCTGGCTTGGGAACAACACCCCTGATTTAAAGAGTCAATAGGACTTTATGGAACTTCTCAACAAGCATTGAGCCAGATCCTCATCTGCTGTAAATGGGCATACCTTCATTGACTTCAGTGCAGTTCACTCTTTACACACATCCCCTTTAGGGACAACTATGCTTCTCTGTATTTATTTCTCACTCACTATCTGTTAAGATTTGCATGCAAAAGAGAACGTAATTCCGCATTGCTCTGCCTATTGCATAGACACTCCCCCTAGTGCAAAGTGGGTGTAAAAGTATTTCCATTCCGGGTTGTTCTAGTGTCAATGGCTGGACAAGGGTCAGGGCAGTGGTGAATTGAGCCCAGGAACTTGAATCAATAAAAGTTTCCCTGCTTCAGATGCATATGTCGCAGCTGAAGTTACCACCATCTATTTACTACAGTAAATACTATAGTTAATTGCTATGGTGATTATGATATCACAAGTGTAGGATCATGACATTATAAGGGGAATAAGCAGCTGGGGCAGATGAAACTCTTATGAAAGAAAGGATCCCGTTTTCAAGCAAAGGCTGAACAAAAATTAAAAAGGGAAGAAAAACGAAACAAATACATGCTGAGTTGGCAGAATTGTTTCTGTTTCTCACAGTTTTTTCCACCAGGAGTCAACAAGTCTTTAAAGAGGATCTTTCGCATTTTAATGTATAAATACAGCTATCTACGTTAACGTGTCTTGAGGCTTTCAATGTCCTGTCCACTTCTGAAAATCTGGACCTATGCATTGGGGGCCTAACATTTGAGGCACCTAAAATTAGGACCTGCTTTTGAAAATTTGATCTCTAATCTCTCCATGGCTCCTGTGATACATGGGGAGTAGCTCCCTTTGATGGACACCCAGCCAGCCAGTTAGCTGTAAAATCCCTCTTTGTCTGTTCTTGTACCTGTAAAGGGTTAACAAGCCCACTGGTAAAAGAAAAGGAGTGGACACCTGATCAAAAGAGCCAATGGGAAGGTAGAACTTTTTAAAATTGGGAAAGAAACTTTCCCTTTGTCTGTTCTCTGGGCTGCAGGGACTGAGCAGCAATGCTGTAAGCAGCTTAAGCCAGGTATAATTATAGATTATCCATTCACACCTCGAACCTACTTTACAGGTAAAGCAAGCAGAGAACAGACCAAGAGGGATTTTACAGCTAACTGGCTGGCTGGGTGTCCATCAAAAGGAACTCCTTCCCCCACTTTCATGTATCACAGCTCCATTTCCACATCTGTAAAATGGCCACAACCTCTAGCTGCCTGGCTGTTGGGTGTCAGATTTATCACGCTGGTTCGGTTGCCCACAGTCCCTTATTACAACGGATGTCTCTCTCTTTTTTTTTATCTCTGTACAACAACATTGGGAGTTGCTGAGGGATGCAAAAAGCAGCAAAAATACCTTTGGTGAATGTAGGTGGGTGCTGCTTATTATTCTTAATACTGACTTTGAAATACAATGTTGGCAGCCCTTCATGTGGGTAGAGAGCTTTGAAATTCTCAAGCACCACATAACAGCTGGTTTTCATGGTAAACAGCTCTATGGCGCCACCTGCTGACACAAGACTGCAGACAGTACAAGGGTCTATTCATGATTTTGGCTGTGTTCTGTTACGTTTTAAAATGAGATTGTATTTAGAATTATTCCTGTCTCTTCACATCATGGAAGAGAGGGATTGCATGCGCTGTCACAGGGCCTAGCGGGCTACTTGCGGACCAACTGTTTATTGCAGCACACCTGCCTGAACAGAAACTGGATGGATCCATTGATATGCTCAGCTCATGGTGATCTTTTGATGAGCAATTGTTACAAAAAGTTTAAGCAGCTTAGAACAGTCCTTTTATGGGTGTATTTACTTAAGAGCAGAGTTCTAAAAGAGGAACAGAGACAGATAACCACAGGGCCCTGTCCATCCCTTTGGGAACAGGCAGGATGGGGCTGCTGCAGCTGGGCTAGATCACAGGCCCACGGGACAACATTTACCAGCCCAGACATGCATTTCCATCCTGGAGGGCTCATTTATTAACATGGATTTATCATGATTGTTTGACAACAAGATAGTTCATCCTATTCCCGACCTTGCATTAATAGAACAGGCTGACCCTGCTCATGATGAACAAGCTCTTCCCTTACATCCAGAGAGGCCAGGTACACCTGGAAAATGAGATCCTTCAGGGTTGCAGAACATAGCTGGCATATCTGGGAAACAAGAATGGCTGGACGTACCCAGGCAGATCTGGGAAAGGCCCTGGATGATGCATCTGGATAAAGGTACTTGTTAGCTTTGGGAAGGCTTTGTAACTGTGTGCTGAGGGGTGTATGGCTATTCTCCTTGTACCTGGTCTGGGAGTAAAGAGGGTTACAGTCTCTGGGATTTAATTTCAAGTGGTGAATGATATACCAGGTGCAGTCCTGTCCATTTAAAAGCTCTCCTCGTACTGGAACTCCTTGTTGTTTAGTGGCACACACCCATCCTCAAGGCAGAAAATCTCTTACAGGGAAAGAGGGCTCTTATATGGCCAGAAATGTACCACTGCTGACTTTCAGTGTGGCCTGGCCTACCCATGCACTTTCTTGTGGAATGTCAGTCAAATGAATCACTTTGTTTGAAAACTGCTGCTGTGCTTTCCAGCATCCACCAAAGGGTTAAGCCCCTTTCCCAAGCATTACCAACCGTACCAAGAAAAGGGGTGTAGAAGGAGAAGTGTGACCAGCAGTTTGTGGGTGTGGGGGGAGTAATTTGCATTGAACGGCGCAGGGGTGCACGGGGAGAAGTGCAACATCTATGCATTGGTAGTGGTGATAAAACAGGAGTACTTGTGACACCTTAGAGACTAACAAATTTATTAGTGCATAAGCTTTTATGGGCTACAGCCCACTTCATCAGATGCATTGAATGGAACATATAGTAAGAAGATATATATATATATACACACACACACACACATACAGACTCATGTCAAATCAAGCTGTGATTAACTTGAAGTGAAGAGGGGTGACATGCGGCTTCTTGAATGGATGTAGATTTTATTTTTGTCATGTCTCATGAGAGAGAGAGCCCCATTGGTGAGAGCCAACAGCTCAGTGTGGGAACCATCTTCCTGCTGGTACCTGCTCTCACTTGCCTGTGTGTAGGAGCTCTCCGGAGGACCCAGTGCTGGAAAGGCTGTCTGCTGGATAGATTTTCTGCATCTCAGAAGAATAATGGTATTGCCTACATTCCTCTTTCTCTGTCGTAGGAACATAGGAATAGGACTGTTGATCTGATCATTGTTCCATCTCCTCCACTGATGGATACTGAGGGTAACCAGTACCAGTCACTGCAGAGGAAGCTCTAAACTTTCCATAATGGACAGTTCTGCATTAACAAATCTAAGGACTTGTCTACACATGGAGTTGTTCCTGATTTAGCTCTGCGTGGACACTTTTATTCTGGAACAGTGACCCTGTGACATTGCTAAATGTAGCTGCAAGGCAAGAATTCTGGGAAGCCACAATGGCCCAAATAAGATAGACTGCAGAAAGCACAAGCTGGAGGGCGTCCCATCCTTTGCCTCTTCTTGTGTGGCTAACATCACTATCCTGCTGCTAATGGACAACCAGATTAAAAATGTGCATAATGATTCTGTAGCAGATCGCTGAATCACCCGTGTGGTGCCGCCTGCTGGTCTCCTGAGAATTACCTCAATTCCAGCCTCTGAGCACCCTCTGCTGGCCAGTGTCTCACCTGCTTCAGGCCCCCGTGTCCCTCCCAGACCCCGGCACCCCTTTCCTCAGGGTTCTGCCCCCAGCAGTACCTCCACACCCTGGGTCTCCCCTCCCAGGTTACCACAACCCTCTATATCCACCTTGCCTCAGTGGTTACTGCCCGTGATCATCTAACCCCTTTCTCAAGGGGCAGACTGCAGTCTGTAATGGCTACTCGTCACTGGCAAAGAGGTTGGACCAGCTGCCTCATCCTATCCCTGGGCTACACCTCTGCAGCTCCAGTACCTCTTTAGGTGTTAAACAAGGCCTCAGCCTGGGGAGTTGCCAGGCTAGAGCTCCCCAGCTCCTCTTGCCTTTCCCCAGCACTGCTCTGCATCAGGTACCCCTGTTCCCAGGCAGCTAGGCCCTTCTCCCTCCAAGGCTGGAGAGAGACTTTGACCCAGCTCCTCCCCTAGCCCTTCTTATTGGGGCCTGCTGTGGCCTGATTAGGTGTGGCCCCAGCTGTGGCCGCTTCCCCAATTAGCCTACCTTTTCTCCCAGGAGCGGGGTAACTGCCCCGTTACAGATTCCTTCTCTCATCTCCCCAACCTGGTCAAACTGAATCTGAGAGTGGACTATCTACCCCCAGGCTGAGCATCTCATCTGTCCCATGTTGTATAGCCATCCACCTGGGAGCCTTCATTGGACTGCAGTATCTGAAACAGCTGGATCTGTCTGAGAACAGTTTAGCATCCATTCTACTTCTACCCCCAACCCTGCAGTATCTGAACTTGTTACACAACAGTATTCTCAGGCTGGAACCCAAGGTGTTTACTAATCTGCTTAGCCTCAGAATGCTCAGCATGGATCAACTGCTACTACAAAAATCCCTGTGGCACATCGGTGGCTGTTCCTGAAGGAGTCCTGTCCCACCTGGGATAACCTGACCCTGCTCTCTCTCAACTATAACAACCTGACCAGCGTGCCACAGAACCTTCCAGCCAGCTTGAAAAATTTCTTTCTCTCCTTTAACCAGATTACCCACATCTCAAAAGGTGATTTTGGAAACCTCACCAATCTCCGGACGTTGCATGCGAAAGGGAACTGCAGGAGATGTGACCACACACTGAACCTGTGTGCAGAGTGCAATGGTTCCTTCCAAATAGATCCTGATTCCTTTCTTCCCCTGAGGTCCCTGGAGGAGTTGGTGCTGTTTGGACAATTTATTTAATGAACTAGATTCTCAGTTATTTCAGTCTTTGGGGAACTTAAAGATGCTTAACCTGACTGATAACTATCTTTACAATGCCATCACAAGCAGTGCAGCATTCAAATGGCTCACCAGGCTCCAAAAGCTTTTGTTATTTTTTAATTACTGAAAGAAGTACAATGCTCAACCATGCTTTACAATGCTCAACCTGACCCAATCTTTCCAATACTTGGAGTCATTGCAAGAGCTGGAGAGCAATGGATTTTTCTTCTAGGTGCTCACTGACATGCAACCTTTAATGGGGCTAAAGAATTTCACTAAGTTACACCTGAGCTTGAACTTTGTCAGCCATGTTGAGATATCAATGTTTAGCCACTTCCCTAGATGAAACTACATTGATCTTGCAAAGAATAGTATCACAGAACTGAACAATAGGAATGAGTTCAGGACATGTGGGGACCCAAATCTCCTGGGCTTAAGCAGGCAACTGCTTGTGTCAATAGACGCAGAAAGTGAATTTGAAGAGGCAGCAGCAAATGCAAAGTTTGATATGAACTCCACCAGTCCTGAAAATGTTAAACCCAGTTACCAGAATTACAGCAAGATTCTCAATTTAGCAGGAAACAATCTTGTGGCTGTGAAAGCAGTGATGTTTAAGAACATAGCTCAAGGCACTTAATGTGAATCATCACAAAATAGCATGTCAATCTATAAATGGCTCGCAGTTCACCCTCTTGAACAATCGCCGCATGCTGGATCTTTCCTACAATAAAATCAATTTGTACTTTGAAAATGCCTTTACTGAGCTCCACCTCCTGGAGGCCTTAGATCTCAGTTACAACAGTTATCACTTCTTGATGCAGGGTATTGGTTACTACCCAAATTTCATAGCACACCTCAAACCTCTTAGTTTGGCTCATAGCTCTGTTGATTCTATTGTAAATTGGTTATCAGCGGCACCTCCTTAAAGGTTCTGATGTTCAACGGAAACCAATTAGAGATGATGTGAGGGCATGAAGACATCTACCTGAGGTTTCTTCCAGAATCTGACCAATTTAATTAAGTTAGATATTTCCAGCAATCACTTGACAGGCCTCCCTTCACAGATTCTTGAAAACCTGCCTAAGACTTTAAAGATCTTGTGTGTTAAGAGCAAGCACATCACTTTTTTCAACTGGACCAACCTGCAGCTCCTGCCTAATCCGGAGGTGTTGGACTGGGAATGATCTCCCCTTCTTGTTCCGCAGCAGCACTCTCGGCAAGGCCAAGCTTCGAAAGCTGGTTCCGAGCAAAAACAAGATAGACGATATCTGCAAATACTTTGCCAATGTGGCCATGCTAACTCATTTGGACTTAAGCTACAATTTGCTGCAAAATATTGATAAGGATCAGTTCACAGAGTGCCTCCCAAACCTGATGGAAGTGGACCTCGGATTTAACCCACTGTGCTGCATGTGCGATTTACTGTTTGAATTGATCATCATTAGGAACATCACAATACCCAACCTGACTTATGAAGTCACCCGTGGCTCTCCATGCGAGCTAAAGGGCAAGAGCACCTTCATCCATGAACTGCTTTTCTGCTCTGAGGACTCTGTCTCACTCTGCCTGTTTGGGTTTTCTGTGTTCTTCACCTTGGCATTCTTGGCTGTGCCTACCATAGAATGTCTCTTTGGCTGGGAGCTCTGGTACACCTTCTGTCATGCCTGGTACATTTCCAGGTGTGGTCAGTGAAGAAAAGTAGTGCAGAAGAGGTGGAATATGATGCAGTTGTGGCTTTCAAGAAAGATCAGGAAGCTGTAGCCAACTGGGTCTATAACAAACTCCAAGTCAGAATGGAAGACTGGCTCGGTTCAAACTTTGTCTTGAAGAAAGAAACTGGATTCCAGGGAGATCCTTGTTGGAAAACTTGTGGGATTCAGTTAGCACAAGAGCAAGAAAATAATTTTTGTGCTTTCCAAGTTCCAGCCCGTGAACGGCATCCTGAGAACTACCTTTCACCTGGCACAGCAGCAGTTGTTGGAGGACAAAAAGGATGTGGTGGTGTTAATTCTGCTGGAGAAGATGGAAAAGAAATCCAAGTAAATCCAATTCAGCTTTGGAAATATCTCTGCAAGAAGACAGTCTTGTTCTGGCTCGAGAAGCCCTGTGGGCAGCAGTGTTTTAGGGACAAGTTCCAGACAGCCTTGGCCAAGGATAACCACAGGCTGTACGGCAAAAAATGCAGCCTGAGCTTTTAAGATGGACAAATAGAATTTAATTTTTTTTGGAGTGGGGAAAAGTCCTCTTTGGCGGGTCCTATCAACAGGGTCATAAAATATATGCTGTCCTGCATGTGACTATCAAGAGACCTTGCACAGAAAGATGGTATTGATCATTTGGTTAAGATTTCAAACCTGATCTGAGGGAAGTTAGTATTTATTGGGGAGAACCAGGACTGACAAACTGACTGCTAATATTAAAGAGATGCTGTGTCTCTGCATACACTATTGTGCTGGGAAGAGTGCAAAAATACCAGACTGCCGACAAAACAATAAACACACCAGCTCTACTGGATTCTAGCCAGGACTGGGGAAGCAGAGGTTACTATGCCACAGTGAGAGTTTTATGGGCTCAAGGTCAGGGGAATGCTTGAGATTTTGGACTCTAGTTGAGTGCAGGGAAGCAGCTGTATTACCATGCTCCAGTAAGGGAATGGGTCAATGGCACTAGGCTCTGTGAATGATTCTGAGCGCAATAGTGGGAAGCAGCAGAGAGGTACCTGACTTTGGTGTAGGAGGATGATTCATTAAAGATGTTTGGCTAAGGTGAGTAGGGGAAGTGGCAATGCTACAGGTCTGCAGGTGTTGAGGGTAGAAGAACGGTGCTTGGTACCATGTTCTACCAATGGGGATATGTAATAAGGGCCTCCATTGTCCCATGGAGTCCTACCCGGATGGTACCAGTTTTCACGGGGGAAAAGACTAGCGAGTGCGGGTGGAAATCCTTTTGATTCTATGCTTTTAGGTTTCAGTAGAGTTCAGACACAAGGAATATGAGGCATCTGATGTGTACATCATGCTGTAAAGTTAGGGTCACCTGAATCTCTACTGGGGGAAACTACTGTTAAATACAAGTACTCTTTCATTGCCATAATGCTAAGAGCCTGACATAATGAAATGCAGAGAGGTAGGACTGCTGCTCCATTCATAACTCTCATTTCTGTGCCTTGGTGTCTTAGAGGATCTCGGATCAGTACAGGCTGCTTTTACATACCCAGTATACTGGATTATGTGGTGAGCCAAGGAAAAAACTCTGTCCTTAACACTACATTTTCTGGTTTAGGTTGGTTCACATCAGCCCTCTGTATCATCCTAACCAATTTGTACAGTACAGCAGGATGAATGGCTCTCGCCTGTCTCTCAGTGACATACCCCATATCGACGCCACAACTTCCTTTCAAGTCAAACACTACGCGATGATTCCTGTGCATTGCCTTTGTAGATATATTTTTTTAAAGCATGAAAAAGACAGATCAATTGAAAAGAAAAAAACCCAGGCTCAAGCTGCTGTGATGCTGTTCTCCTCTAGGGGTTTTGTGCATTGGGAAATATTATGTAGTGAGCATGAAGAAGAATGCATAAAACTTGGGAGGAAAAAATGGAAATATTCCTTCCCTGTCCAGCTTTATTCTAACTGTGCTAAACTCAAGCATGTTGCTGACTTCCTGATTGTTGCTTTGGAACCTTTACCAGGTCAGGATTGTAATGTGCTTTCAGGCAACTGAAGACTCTTGCAAGTTGATATTTTTAGTATCACCATGAATAACTTCCAGTGGGAGTGTGTGTGTGTGTGTGTGTGTGGGGGGGGGATGTTGTGAGTAAAGCCATTGCAATAGGTGAGGGGACTCAGGCTCAGCCTTCTCGACATCCCCGGTATCTGGTGCATTCCAAAGAGGAGATAATGGGTCTACAAAAGCATCAGTATGAGCTAGGGGATAAGCCCCCCCCTTGCCAAGGGTGGTTTAGCAATACCCCCAGATGATGTTAGCACTTGAAAGGCTGCTTTCCTGTATATAAAGCAAGCCTGATGCTGAGGTACGGTTGCTGGCACATTGACCCAGATAGAAAGCTCTCTCCAACAGAGAGAGTGGCAGTGTTGCTCTAGCAGGAACACTGCATCCCTGAACATGGTGTGATCTTTGGCCTCTAGGCCCTGAGGGGCCCTGTGTTGGCACTTTGGTGCATTTATGGGGAAGATGGAGACTGGCCAGGCTCAGTGGACTTGCGATTGGAGATGGAGCCTTTCACATCTAGGTCACCTGTTTTAATCTGGCTCAGCTTCGTAATGACAGAAATTCCACAGCTGATGGCTGTTCCTCTGTAATATGAGCTAGTAGCAGAGCTGACATTTGAGGCTTAACACCTGGGGGTCTAATGCCCCAAATTTGGGGGCTTTAAGGATGTGTAGGCTAATCTTGGTTTCTAACCCATTTTGCTGGGGAACAGCCTTGAAAATGGAGCTGACCACTTGGGCTGGAAATCTGCTACAGTGATTTAGCCTTAGAATTGGATTATCCACGATTGCCCCTACAGCAGCTCAGGCCTGACTTTTGGCAGTCATGAAGCCCACATCTATGTGTCCCTTGCGTTTCTGAGGGATCCCAAGCCAGTTAACAGCGGGAAGGAGACAGTCACATTTGAGTTGTTGAGTGACTGGCTCTGGGTGGACTCAAGCTACTTCCCAGCCCCTGGCCAGTTCCCTGTAGATGGACCATTAGGAGGTGCAGCTCAATAGCATGAGAGCCAGTGTGGTCTAGTAGGACTAAACATGGGTCTGAGATCTAATTGGTCTGATGCCTTCGTCAATTCACCATAGCTTCTTTGCCTTGATTCACCATCTGTAAAGCAGGGAGGATGATCTGTACTTATCTTACAGGAGTATTGTAAGGATAAATTTAGTTAATAATTGTGAAGAGCTATTGGAATATTATTCTTATTGCCATTTTGCGTTTGGTTCAGTGCAGACTGTAACCCAGGAGACAAACGCACACTGTGCTCTCTCCTGCAGACTGCAGTGTTGGCCTGTCCTGTTTTCTTAATGTAAAATTAAAGTCAGATGGTTGCTCCCCGCATGTGAGGAATGTAACGCCATTCACTTTCTGGTTGTCTTTGTGTTCCCTGGAGCAGCCACCCCCAACCCCTACTACTGGGGTCTGAATTGCTGCTTTGGCTCCCTCAGACAAAGGAAGAAAAGGAAGGAGATGAGCCGGGCCCAGGATCCTGAAGAGAACTCCTCATACTGGCCTATAAACCTCACATAAGCCCCACCTCACAGGGAAGGGTAGGAGAGATGTCCTGGAGGCCAAATTTAGGCTGCTAGGAAAAAGACTGAAATCCAGGACCTCTAGGGTGGCATTCTCCGAAATGCTTCCAGTTCCACGCGCAGGGCCAGGTAGGCAGGCAGAGCTTCAGAGTCTCAATGCGTGGATGAGACGATGTAGAGAGGAGGGGTTTAGATTTATTAGGAACTGGGGAAACTTTTGGGTGGGGGGAGCCTATACAGGAAGGATGGGCTCCACCTAAACCAAGGTGGATCCAGACGGCTGCCACTTAACATTAAAAAGGTTGCAGAACAGTTTTTAAACTAAGAGATGGGGGAAAGCTGATTGCTGCAGAGGAGCATGTGATCGGACAGAGACTTCTCTTAGAGGAGAGTCTATTGATAGAGATTCTCTAGGTTTTAGTCAGGAGGATAGGATGGAAGGGAACAAAGTATGGGCCAGATCAGACGAGAAACATTCACATAAAAAAGAATCTGACCCATCAGAAAAGGGCAGACAAATAAACGGTGACAAGTTTTTTAAAGTGCTTGTACACAAATGCTAGAAGTCTAAATAATAAGATGGGTGAATTAGAGTGCCTCGTGTTAAAGGAGGATATTGATATAATAGGCATCACAGAAACCTGGTGAAGTGAGGACAATCAATGGGAAACAATCATTCCGGGGTACAAAATATATCGGAAGGACAGCACAGGTTGTGCGGCGGGTGGAGTGGCACCATATGTGAAAGAAAATGTAGAATCAAATGAAGTAAAAATCTTAAATGAATCCACATGTCCCATAGAATCTCTATGGATAGTAATTCCATGCTCTGATAAGAATATAACAGTAGGAATCTATTATCGATCACCTGACCAGGACAGTGATAGTGACGATGAAATGCTAAGGGAGATTAGAGAGGCTATCAAAATAAAGAACTCAGTAATAGTGGGGGATTTCAATTATCCCCATATTGACTGGGTAAATGTCAGGACGAATTGCAGAGACAAAATTTCTCGATACTTTAAATGACTGCTTTTTGAAACAGCTGGTACAGGAATCCATAAGGGGAGAGGGAATTCTCGATTTAGTCCTGAGTGGAGTGCAGATTCTGGTCCAAGAGGTAATTATAAACATAGAATATCAGGGTTGGAAGGGACCTCAGGAGGTCATCTAGTCCAACCCCCTGCTCAAAGCAGGACCAATCCCCAATTAAATCATCCCAGCCAAGGCTTTGTCAAGCCTGACCTTAAAAACTTCTAAGGAAGGAGATTCCACCACCTCCCTAGGTAACGCATTCCAGTGTTTCACCACCCTCCTAGTGAAAAAGTTTTTCCTAATATCCAACCTAAACCTCCCCCACTGAAACTTGAGACCATTACTCCTTGTCCTGTCATCTTCTACCACTGAGAATAGTCTAGAACCATCCTCTTTGGAATCACCTCTCAGATAGTTGAAAGCAGCTATCAAATCCCACCTTATTCTTCTCTTCTGCAGACTAAACAATCCCAGTTCCCTTAGCCTCTCCTCATAAATCATGTGTTCCAGACCCCTAATCATTTTTGTTGCCTTTCGCTGGACTCTCTCCAATTTTTCCACATCCTCCTTGTAATGTGGGGCCCAAAACTGGACACAGTACTCCAGATGAGGTCTCACCAATGTCGAATAGAGGGGAACAATCACGTCCCTCGATCTGCTGGCTATGCCCCTACTTATACATCCCAAAATGCCATTGGCCTTCCTGGCAACAAGGGCACACTGTTGACTCATATCCAGCTTCTCGTCCACTGTCACCCCTAGGTCCTTTTCCGCAGAACTGCTGCCTAGCCATTCGGTCCCTAGTCTGTAGCGGTGCATTGGATTCTTCTGTCCTAAGTGCAGGACCCTGCACTTATCCTTGTTGAACCTCATCAGATTTCTTTTGGCCCAATCCTCCAAT